GTCCTATATAACCCATGTTTTTTTTTCAAAAATCGGTCATTTGTGGCCATTTTGGTGGACTGTTTTTTTTTATAAAGATATATTATCTTATAGAGAACATGCTCCAGTTTTTTTTTTCGTGACAGCACATTATGTTCGCCATTGTATATTTTTTTTTTTTTTTTATATTCATTAATCATTGAAAATATCACATTCGTGAAATTTTTTTTTATTGGAGGTAAAGGGTTAGGGTTAGTCACCACTTCGATTTTTTTTCATGGAACAACAGAAGTAAAAGATGTTTATCACTGGTGTTTTTTTTGAGGGCTTTGCACATACTGGTGGTTATACAATGTTCTTTTTTTTTTGCTTACCAGTGACCCAACACTTGGTACCCTGGACTATGTTTTTTTTAGTTCTTGTTGGTAGGCAGACAAGATTTGCATCCTTTGTTTTTTTTGTTGTGGGAAAGTATATTTGGTAATTGATCCGACGACATTTTTTTTACGCACATAGTCAGTCCGGCGCCATAAATTCTGCTTTATTTTTTTTAGCCTATTTTGAAATAGTTGTAAAAAAGGGTTGAATGATTTTTTTTACGTCACCAGRTAAAYCTGACAAGTTTCAACCCGTGRTTTTTTTTTTTGTGACGTCAGCACGCGAATGACTTTCGGTTGCCTCGTTTTTTTTTGTAACGTCACTTCCTTTTATGTCCTTAACCAATTATCTTTTTTTTGTAACTCACGACCACCCGAACCTCTCGATGTAAAGTATTTTTTTTTTCCCGAGGTGTCTTCATTCATCTCAAGGAATTTTCCAGTTTTTTTTTAGAGTAAAGTGCATCGAAGTCTTAGTTTGGTAAGTTGTTTTTTTTGTAAAACTTTAATTTTATCCTTTCATCGTGTTATATTCTTTTTTTTATTCAGTCACTGAATTTGTAGTGACATAAAAGATAAAATTTTTTTTATTTCCCAAACGCATGCAGAAATTTGTAAGGTTTGTCATTTTTTTTAGATAAAATACAAAAAATCGCTAGCGCTATCACGGTCTTTTTTTTTCGTGAACAACAGCATCGATAAACTGTAGTAACAAAAACTTTTTTTTAGTGGGAAGAAAAAAAAAATTACAATGATTTTAAATAGTTTTTTTTTATATAGCAATATTATCATAATTATTATACTTGTTGTTTTTTTTTTTATCCAGCCTCTGTTACACTGAAAAAAATCGCGCGCTTTTTTTTTTGTAAATTTGATGTAAATATAATCATGTCCAAAATTCTGTTTTTTTTATGTAAATGATTTCCATTGAATTTACAGAATTTTGGACTTTTTTTTCATATTTAAATCAAATTTACAACTTTTAAAGCTCGCGATTTTTTTTC